GACCTTTTACCAGTGGAAAAAGCCTTACACAGAAATATCCTTATCCTCTATTTATTAACAATTACCAAGTGGAATACACATGCTAAGCATACAATGCTATGCTCACCACTCCTGATCAGGCAGGCAGACTTACCTTGTTAGCCAGACAAGGTCAATCTTGTCTGGATTCTGGTTGCTGCACATCATGTTCGTGCAAAGGATTCTTAGCAGCTTTGATCTTAAGCTGTGTCTTAGAGGTGAGTTCTTCTTCTTCAGGTCTTTCCTTCTTCTTATTCTTCTGTTCCTTCTGCTGGTCTCCTTCTTGGACCCCAGTTTATATAGTGAAACTTGAGTCCTACTTAGCTATACCTTAACCAATCATTTTACTAAAATATTACTAAGCAATTCTCTAATCAATCCTAACATATTGTAAAACAATCATACCCCACCACCTTAATTGATTTACACCTAGCAAAATTAATTGTGACAGAAACAATCAAAGAACCAGAGATCATACCGACAAAAAATAGAGAAATGGGGACCATAAAGACAAAACAATAAAGAAATGAGGATTTCATAACCATAACTATTGATAAGTGATTTCTTGCCAGACCGAATGCTATCAAACTAAGTTTTCTTTAACCATTTTAAGATCTGTTTCTTTATCTGGTGATGGTGGGTGCTAGTAGGATAGGATCACCTTAACAGCCCGATATTAGATTGTTTTAATGTAACTTAGATGGAATGTGAAAATGAGACTTTCTGCTTCTTGGCTAATGGCTGCTTCTCTCCTAATGTGGCTACAGGAAAAGGCCTTATCCGGACAGTCCCTGCAGACTGAGGGTCTTTGGTTTTTCCAAGACCTGAAGGCTCATATAAACGTCAGAGACTTGGGAGTTGTCCATCTTGCAAGCTTGGCCTTTCTTCCACATTTCAAGGGACAGAGTTGCTGTGTTGTCTGTTAATACTAGCAGATTATGTTTTATATGACTAGATAAGGAGGGTATTCTACTCAGTTGTTCCAGGAGGTTATCCTCCAGTGAGAGTTTTACATAGTTGGCTCCATTCACCTCAGAGCTGCTTACCTTCCAGGGGTGCAGAATATGCTCGCAGACCAGATGAGCAGGTCCTTCTCCTGTCACTAAGAGCGGCCATTATGCCTGGACATGGCCAGATCCATTTTCCGACCATAAGTGACTCAGCGGGTTTGCAACAGGGACCAGTAGAAATTTCCATCACTTCTGTTCCCCCAGAGGGTGGGGAGGTGTCACAGTCCAGGTTTATTGACAGGTGCATTTCTGCAGCCCTGGAGGAACACCTTACTATATGCCTTCCGTCTAATTCTTTTACTGCCCAAAGTCTTGTCCAAGATCAGACAGGGCCATGCTCACCTTTATAGCACCAGAGTGGCCTTGGCAGCACTAGTTCTTGACCCTGCTAACCTTGTCAGTCAGACCTCCACTGTCTTTTCCATTGGAACCAGACACCTCCTCCACCTCAACCTGCAGGCCCTCCACTTGACAGGCTCGATGTTTCATGGCTAAGGCTACATTTTAGTCACAGGTATTTTTAGTAAAAGTCATGGATAGGTCATGGACAGTAAACCAAAAGTCACGTCCCATAACCTGGGTAGAGGAGCAGCTGTAGGGGGTGGCCCTGGGGATGCCAGGGCCCAGAGGGGACGCCACAGGTGCTTGGGGGGGCGGGTTGGCAGGGATGGGGCAGGTTCCCTACCCAGCTCCTGGGAAGTGGCAACCTCCAGCTCTTGCTGCCTCCACTCCACCCCAAGCCCTGGTTCTGCAGCTCCTATTGGCTGGGAACTGTAGCCAGTGCCTGGGGCGGGGGCAGCGCCTGTGGGGAAGCAGGTGGAGCTAGGAGCTGAGAAAGGGGAGCCCCCTGTGGTAAGCATCACCCTGCACCCCAATCCCCAGCCCTGAGCCCCCCCACACCCAAATTCCTGCTGCTGGGGGATTGGGGGCGGGGGGCAAGATTGCCCCAGCAGCAGCCAGTGCGACTGGCCCAGGGGCTGCTCAGGCGGCTCCCAGGCCAGCCGCACAGGCTGCTGCAGAAGTCACGGAGGTCACGGCAAGTCATGGAATCCGTGACAAACCCAGAGCTTTATTCAGGGCTAACACCATTAGAAAAGGCTTGCAAAAAGTACTTATAAATAGTAGAAAGCCTTCAGTTAGGACAGGGGTTCCCAAACTTGGTTCGCCGCTTGTTCAGGGTGAGCCAGTTGGAATGCTTCCCTATTCAACTAGGGCACGTGCAGCATCTGCAGCTTTTCTGGCACAAGTTCCTATTCTGGACATTTGCAAAGTAGCAACTTGGTCATCAGTACACACATTTGCTTTTCATTACGTTATAGCCCATCAGTCCAGGAACAGTAAGATTCAGGCCTTTTGTTCTACAATCACTGTTCAAATAGACTGCAGGTCCACCTCCAGATCAATCTGCTTGTGAGTCACCTACAGTGGAACAAACGTTTGTAATCAGTTGAAGAAGAAGAAATGGTTACCTACCTTTCCATAACTGTTGTTCTGTTGAAATGTGTTGCACGTGTCCATTTCATGACCCACCTTCCTTCCCATCTCTGTTGAAGTCTGTATGGCAGGCAGAAACTGAGGGAGGGGGAGGGTGTTGTGGACAGCTCCACCCTTTATATTTTATATCTTCATGCAGAGATGCACAGCAGCAGAGGGCACTCAAGGCACCCTGACAGGTAACGGAAGTGGAGGGGAATCTGTCAGTCATGCGCTGGGCACACACTCACCTGAAGTAGAATGAATGTGTGCAACATATCTCAAAAAACAACTAGTAAGCATTTATTACCCCACATAACATCATTATTCTAGTTCCAACACACGAGAGGACAGCCTAATTGTTGTCCATAATGTTACTTTATATAAGAGAGAGAGGTTAGGGTATTTCCAGGAGTCAGGGAAACTAATTTTATTCCCAGTCACTTACGACTCTTCGTAATAAAGGCTACTGGATTGCTTAATGAGATATAGGTGAAGTGCTTACCTATGCCACCAGTTCATATCCAGTCCAGGCCAACTACAGAGGACCCCATGCTGCAGTGTGTAATATACAGGCAGATTGCTGGGCTCACATGGAGCCCCATTGAAATCAGTGGGTATCCATATGGGTTCAGCAGTCCATCTTCATACTATATAAGGATTGCGGGATCAGGATCAAAAGGTGTTACCCTCTGAGATTTATTAATGTCCCATGTCATAAATTTAATTTTAATCCAGTTCTCAGGGAACAGGTATTCCGTGTTTCTCATTCTCACATGCATACATCATTATAATTGGCATTAATTGGCCAACTTAGTACCCAGGTCTGGGCCTGGAAACTATTTTACTCTCATACCCCTGGAGCTGGCTCCTCTGGAACATTGTTGGTGGGACAGTCATGGTTTGTTCTGCACCTGTTCTGTGGATGACCCCAATATCCAGAGCAATCAATTCAGCACTCTTCATATGTGCATTCTTGAATTCACTTTAACTTCTTATATATGTGTATGTCAAATCTACATGCAGACATTTTGAGCCTTCTCATACTCTCCCTAGTTCCTGCATTTCATCACATTTCTGTAGTTTCTTGACTGCTTGGTAATTTGATTGCTTTTGTTACTTTTTGCGAGTTTTTTTCTATTTAGTTTTGTTTCATTTTGGGTAGTAATAGCCTTTAAGGGGAAACATATACTTCCAGTTTCTCAGAGCCTTGCTCCATGCTTCTCTTAAGCTACCACACTCCCTAGTGACAAGCAACTCCCCTTTTAACAACAAATGTTAACTTGTAAACATCCATAACCAGAAGCCAATAAATGTAAACATCTTGCAGGTTGGATAATTCTTCATGATTCTTTCTCCACTCTTCCCCATTTTGAGATATTCTATTAATTTATTTCCCTACCCTGCTCAGTAGAGCCAAATAAAAGTAAACTGTAACACATCCAAACACTCTTGAAATTATGCACTTCACATTGTAAATGCTATTCATAGTAAATTGTAGCCAAAATAAAGTAGAAAGGAATCCCACTGGGGAAATGTATAATGTAGATTAGAGCTTTTCCTAAAGTGATGAGGATGTTTATTCATTTTGCATATAGCAGTCGGTGAAGTTAATTTTTGCAGCTGCTAGAGCCATGCTCTATTGTTATACTTTTCTGTGCAAAGATTGTTGTTGTTTGCGGGGCAAGGGGGGGTTAATTGTTTTCATTACTAAGGAGACAGGAAGTGCATTAAACCAGAATCAGAAACCTTTTTATTTGACCAAAATTGTTAAAACAGTTCAAGAGACAGGACTGTGTGTTAATGTTTGAGAGAACATGTTGACTTCAGGAAATCTGATAGATAGGCCACCCAAACTATAAAGAGTAGCAGCAGGGAGAAAGTATGTTTTCATCTAATTATAGCTACATTACCCTGTGCTGCCCATAACTGGGTTAAGCAATGTCACACATCTGCTCCTAGACCTACAGCATTTAAAAATTTCAGCAATCATCCAAAATTTTAACTTTCTCAAGAGGATACCCTATTCAGTATTGCATCCCCCATCAGCCATTGTATCGGTCTACAAAGAGAGGGCCCAATCATGCTCTTCAACAAAACAAACAAACAAAAGCACCTGGACATACACAAACAACCCTAGTGTGTTGCACATAATTCTGTTTTGTTTATGGGCATTTCACTAGAACAGTGGCTCTCAACCTTTCCAGACTACTGTACCCCTTTCAGGAGGCTGATTTGTCCTGTGTATTCCCAAGTTACACCTCACTTAATTAGTTGTTTGTTAAAATAAATTGCTGATTTGTAATGCAGAAGATTCTATTCCACTGTATGGTGGGAACTTTTAATTAAACTTCTTATTTTAAAAAAAAAAGTCTACCTTGTTGCTAAAGATGGTGTTAAATGTGAAATGTATTTGGACATGTTTATAAACAGAAATTTAGACAAAATATAAAGTAGCTACTTAATTTACACTAACTATCACAAACTTTATTTTTCTAGGGAAACACCAAAAGGAGCACATTATCTCGCCAAAAGTCTGGATGATGCTTTAGTTCTTCTGGACTCACCAGAGTTAAAAAGTAAGATAGACATGGTTTGGATCATCGGAGGCAGTTCCATTTATAAGGTACAGTTGGAACACTAAATTAATACTCTTAAAATGGTATTGTGGGACCATGAGAGGCGGGAGCCAGATGGTTCAGCACTTAGCTCACGCATATAATAACTTGTTATTGTATTGATCAAGTACTTAGGACTAGCACTGGGGATGCTCAAACCCATATTGGCTGGCTCCAACTGGACAGGCAGCTACTAGCAACAAACTCAAGAGTTGACCTTTTTATACCTTATTTATCAGACCTATGACTATTGCCACTATTTCTCAAATCCTTTCCTTTGCTAAAACTGGTTGGAACCATCTTTGATAATTGGGGCCTCTTCTTCGAAGTCTTTCCTCCTATCTTATCAGCCATATTCCAGGTCCAGTATTTGCAATCAAACATACCATCTTTCAAGGCCTTTCCAAAACTGCTACACATCTGCACTTTACACAAACTGCAAAGCATTTATACACTTTTAGCTAAGCTAATTTAACCATTTACATATACTTATCTAATCCTACAGCTGGGCTGCAGGAATGGTCCTGCAATTGCAGCTCATGGACACTAGAAGGTACTGTGGACCTGTATGTGAGCAAAAGGGAGTCTGGGAAGAGCAGGCAAGCAGTGAGGCAGTGGCAGCAACAAGCAGAGATGGTAATGGAGAAGAAAATGAGCGGTGTACCTAGTGTTCTCCACCTAGCAACCAGCCATGCCCCTTGCAGACACTCCCATCCCAAGCCACTCATCTTTCCCCACCCACACAACAGGTTCCAGCTGCCCCAACACCATCCCTATCCTCACAAAGCCACCTCCTTAACCATCATCAGCTTCCTCTGGACACTCACTCTCTCCACACATACACCCCCATCCTCTGCTTCTCTCCGAAGCTATCTAACCATCTCTAGTGAACATCCCTATAAACCTAGCTACCCACAACCACTGAGCTTCTCCCATCCCCATTTTCTCGCTCCTCCCCCTTGACATTCCCTTCCACAAACTTAGCTTTTCCATAGCTAACTCACAGGCCCCCTTATCCCATTTTTCATCTATTCACCTCACAAATCCATTTGTGCCATCTTCCCACCTAAATACTTACCTACTTTCCAGACACCCTTCAGTACCCACCCACTTACTACATTTGCCAAATTGTTTTGCAAATCTGTTTCCTATCCTGACCACTGTTCGGGGCAAAGTGTATTGGACTTAAGCTGAAGTTTAGGATCAGATACAAATTACTTACAAATAATTCAGTGTGCTAATTGTCATATTTATAACTATTATGCACCAAGTGTTGCACATGGGGCTGCACAAAACTTGACAGCTATAAACAGACACCAAACCCCTTAGAGAGACGAAGTAGGGACCAGCACAGCTGCAATTACACTGCATACTACAATCCCCGTTCTCAGGAGGCTGTAGAGTCGAAAGAGAGAGAACATTTCCTTTCCCTTTCAGCAGGGAGGCGCTTGAAAGTTTTCAGACACCCTTTTAACCAGATGATGTGAAAGATGACCCCTTTCCCTCCAGACAGGATCCAGGATCCTGTTAAGAATCACAACATCCTTCCCTTTCCCAGCAGCTAAGATTAATGGGGAGCTGGGCTTCTCGCAAGGCCTTTGCCTCAGGATTTCTGATAGCTCACAAACACACATTTACTTTTATGTATTTTCCCCTAGCTAGTAGATTTAGTCTCGTAATGGTTTTGAGCACAGAAAAAGATTATCACTGATCATCGATTCTAGATCTATGTTCTGCCAACCTCAGTGTGTTTACAAAAAGGTATTTTTCTTGAACCCCTTCACTATAACTGATTAAAGTAAATTTATATCTTTTCCCTGTAATGGAGAGTAAGGTGTCATTAAGTTCTTATGCAATCATAAGTTCATTTAATAATGGTAAGAAACACATTGAAAGATGATTTTTTTTAAAAACACATTATTATCACTAATTTGCAATCTGGAAATCATTTAGTGCAGGTTCCCTCCCCCCACCCCCAAGACGCTTACCTAGCTTTATGCCCAAAGTGTCTTGACAACTAGTAAAGGAAAATGTAGAAATAGTATTTCCCCTTCATTACTCAACATCAGAGCCCTCTGCTTCCATTTTTAATGGAGATACCTTTTTTTGGTGGAACTCTTTTCAGATTTGGCATAATTACAAAATAGGAACAAGAGAGTTGACTTGGCTTCTGTCTGCAATTCAGAAGAAAGGGCAAACTAAGCAGAAGTAATTTCTTCTTGCACATCCAGTGGTTCAAAATATGCATTTTAATGTTCCCTCCTCTTACAGTGAATTAATTCTGCACTATAGGCGTCTAACCTCGTTAACTATTTTAGGGTTACCATATTTAAAAAATAAAAAAAGAGGACACTCCACGGGCCCTAGCCCCACCCATTTCCCACCCCCAGCCCCGCCCCAACTCCGCCCTTTCCCCAAAGTCCCCGCCCTAACTCCCCCTCCTCCCTCCCAGCCACGCGAAAAGGGCTGCCCGAGCGCTACCGGCTTTACGGTTTGCCGGGCAGCCTCCAGACCCTGCACCCCCGGCCGGCGCTTCCCCAGCGCAGCTGGAGCCCGGGAGGGGAAGCGCCCAGCCGGGGGTGCAGAGTCTGGAGGCTGCCCAGCAAACCATGAAGCCGGGAGCACTCGGGCTTCAGGCAGCCCCTATGCCTCCGGACCCTGCGCCCCCGGCTGGGCACTTCTCCTCCCCGGCTCCAGCTGCTCTGCTCCTCCGTGGACTCAGACTTCGGCTCTGTTTAAGAGCCAAGCTGCCCGAGCCAGCGCTACCGGCTTCGGGCAGCCGCCATGCCTCCGGACCCCAGCCGCTGGCTGGGCACTTCTCCTCCCCGGCTCCAGCTGCTCTGCTGGCGCAGGGTCCGGAGGCACGGGGGCTGCCCGAAGCCGGTAGCGCTGGCTCGGGCAGCTTGGCTCTTAAACAGAGCCGAAGTCTGAGTCCGGGGAGGAGCAGAGCAGCCACGGGAGAGGAAGTGCCCGGCCGGTATTTTTCCCGGCCATGTTCGGCTTTTTGGCAATTCCCCCGGACGGGGGTTTGATTGCTGAAAAGCTGGACATGTCCGGGAAAAGCCGGACGTATGGTAACCCTAACTATTTTATCTTGTGCACTATTTTGTGCTGCCTTGTAGACAACTATGCCATTTGGATCCATAGCACACCTAACCTAGTTTAGAAAAATAATAGATTGTAAGGTTGATCAAGCCACTTTTGATCAAGTCTGTTTATTGTATCAACATAATAGAATCTGATTTTAAATTTAACTGTTTCTATTATTTCCAATATCTAATCAAGACATTTTATGAAAGCTTGTAACTTACTGAGAAAAATCTGACAGTTGTGCATTTAAACTAGCATTATGATTTTAATTACAGTAACTCCTCACTTAACATTGTAGTTATGTTCCTGAAAAATGCGATTTTAAGCAAAACAATGTTAAGTGAATCCAATTTCCCCATAAGAATTAATGTAAATAGAGGGGAGTTAGGTTCCAGGGAAAGTTTTTTACTTACCAGACAAAAGAACTATATTGTGTGTGTGTGTGTGTGTGTGTGTACACACATACACACACACACAAAGTTTTAAACAAACAATTTAATACTGATACACAGTGATGATGATTGTGAAGCTTGGTTGAGGTGGTGAAGTCAGAGAGTGGGATATTTCGCAAGGAATGCCTTACTGCTAAATGATGAACTAGCAATTGGCTGAGCCCTCAAGGGTTAACTCTCACATTCTGCTGGGCAGCTGCTGCACAGGGAACTTAGGGGAGCGAGGAGCTGATAAGGGGGCTGCCGGTCCACCCTGGTTCCAAGCCCCCACCAGCTAGCTGCAATGGGCTGCTCTTCCTGCAAGCAGTGGACAAACGACGTTAGAAGGGAGCACTGCACAACTTTAAACGAGCATGTTCCCTAATTGATCAGCAACGTAACAACGTTAACCGGGACAACTTTAAGTGAGGAGTTACTGTATAAGTGTTTGATGAAAAGTGTAGGTAATATTTTTAGTATTTACATCAGGGATGTACCTTAGTTGGGTGATAAGGACGTCTAGAAGATTACCATGTGGAGGTAGAAAATTATCTGTGGTCCGTGGATACTAAATACCTGCTGATAATTTAAATGAATCATTTTATCCATAGATAGTAGATTTTTAAAGCTTTATTTTGATCATACTACTTTGTGTGACTTAATAAAGGTATAGGGCCAGCTTTTGCTTATTAGATGCAGGCCCATGTTGGAGCCAGTAATGAGTCACCACCTCTTCAATTCAGGAGACAGTATGCCTCAAAGACAATGCTGCCTGGAGATCCTGAGAAGAACAGCCATTACATCACCCTTTAAGATAATGTAGTCTGTGCTCTTCTCATCTGGTCAGTGTGGGGGACCCTAGCCTCACCTCTTCTCTGCCTCTTTTGGTGTAGGGATACTTAGGTGAGCTCATGGACTACAGATGTTTCTGTTCTCTGAATCAGCATGCAAGCAAAAGAGAGGAAGGACTAGGAGATGTCTCGTGACAAAGCTGGCTTAAAAAACATAACGGGGAGTCCTTGTGGCACCTTAGACTAACACATTTATTTGGGCATAAGCTTTCGTGGGCTAAAACCCACTTCATCAGATGCATGGAATGAAAAATACAGTAAGCAAGTATAAATATACAGCACATGAAAAGATGGGAGTTGCCTTATCAAGTGGAGGGGTCAGTGCTAACGAGGCCAATTGACTTAAAGTGGAAGTGGCCTATTCTCAACAGTTGACAAGAAGGTGTGAGTATCAGCAGAGGGAAAATTACTTTTTGTAGTGACCCATCCACTCCCAGTTTTTATTCAGGCCTAATTTGATGGTGTCCCGTTTGCAAATTAATTCCAGTTCTGCAGTTTCTCGTTGAAGTCTGTTTTTGGAGTTTTTTGTTGAAGACTTGCCACTTTTAAGTCTGTTATTGAGTGTCCAGGGAGATTGAAGTGCTCTCCTACTGGTTTTTGAATGCCACAATGCTTGATGTCTGATTTGTGTCCATT